CTTTCTTCCCAAAGCAGGGTTAAGGTTATGCATGTTTGGAATCCTATTAGCAAATTATGCATTACATTATCTCTGTTTGGTACAGTGAAATTGCAAATTAACCCCTTTAAAAGTGAGTCAGCCTAAAAGATCAGCAGTGTGTGATCAATGTTAATATTGTTATCAAGCAATCTGCAGCAGAGATTTTGGCAGAAATGCCCTCTGATCCCTGCCCAGGGCTCCTGCTCTGATTAATGGTTGTGTATTCCCCATTTCAGCCCTGAGAAGTTACCCCTGTCCATCCTGGAATTCATGGAAACACTAAAAATCACCAAAAAGCCCAGGAACAAATGGGGAAAAAGGTTCTCAGAATTTAAAGGAAAAGTTGCTGGAAGTTCCCGTTCCAGACTCACTCTTTGACAACTCTTCCAGTGTAATATTTTCCAGATATGTACAATATTTTTTACATGTACAGCTCTTGAATTGATGCTTACCATTAAAGGAAATTTTTGCTATTATATTATTATTATCCAAGTCACCAAAAGAAGAAAATCTTGTCTAAAAAACAGACTAAATTAGGCTGCAGTCACCCYAGCACTGCCTGGTAAATCTGTGTAACGAGTGGACAATGGATATTTGTGTGATAATATTCACTTAAACCGTGTTTTGTTGCCCCTCAATGTTTTGTGGAGAAGTTTTTGACTGAACCTCTGTTGATTTCACTGCCATATGTTTGTTTTGATTGTCTAAAATTCACATCATAAAACATTTTTTCATTTTTTTTTTCTGAAAAACAATCACATGCAAAGATCTCGCTGCAACATGGAATGAACTTTGCCTCCTCTGTGCCAGGAAAAAGGATTTTTGGATGCAGAGCTGCTTCTGCAAGCTCATCCCAACCCTTTCTCCAYCACCGTGCTCAGCCCAGGATTTGARCCATCTGTGCTGCATCCCCACAGTAATAATCCAATATTTGAGTTGGCTATAAAGTTGGGAATAAACAAGAAAAGAGATAAAGTGTAACAAAAGCCAAAGAAGTGTCAAAACAAATGAAACGGCTGGAGAAAACTGAGCAAATGCWTAATAAATATCATTTTAATATCCCCTTGCACCAGTCATTTGACAGGCAAAACCGAGGATGACTCAGATATTTTCAATTTTTTTTTAAAACCGAGCTGTTACTCACAAATCACTTGATTTTAATTTTCTAGATTTCTAAATTTTGGTTTTTTATTATGTTGTGTACACACTTTGTACAGGCATGGCTTTATTTGACACAGAAGCACAACAAAACTGCCGAGCCTTCCCAAAATCTGCTTCTACACCATGGCCAACTTTAGTGGCCACAAAAACAGCCAGGTGAGCCCAAAATAAGGATCAAGAGCACAGAGAGATCTGAACCTTTCTGCTGTCTGCAGAAACTGCTTTTGCTGATTTKATCATCCATTTTCCCCTTTCAATATCCATCTCTGTGTCTCTGCTCTTGCAGTCCATTAACACAGTCTGGGATAAGTTAATCAAAGGAATTCTTATAGAAATTCTTCTCATTGTTTCCTTCTATCTTCTAATACCAGCCTTATCTTATCCCCAGAATCAGTCAGTTTGTAAAGACACTCCCTTCTCACTCCTTTCCAAGTGAATCCATCATTTTGGGCATCATAAGCAATGGTGCATCTCAAAAACCAAACACCACACTCGAGTGAAACCCTCATCAGTTCTGGACGTGTTTTCCATCCCAATAACTTCACCCAATAACTCATGAGAGCGCCTTTAGCAGAGGCAAATGATGAGATTAAACATGATGAGATTAAACATGATGAGATTGAACGTGATGCTTTTTGATACTCTTCCATCTCAGGAGGACAGTATTAGCTAAAGCCATTCATTCTGTCTAAAGGGATCTCTGTAATGCTTCATCTGCTCAACAATTTCATTAAATTCTCCATCCCTGCTAGAAATGAGGTGCAGTTTAACTCCAGGGATGCAGCAAACCCATATTTATCCAGTCCAACATCAGTGATATGATCTGTGGGTTACAAAACCWCCCAGGACGTGACTCAAACTTGTGTCCTGTCCCCATTTGTCATTTGGGAAACGCTGCTGCCAGGCAAATATCCACCAATAATATTAAATTTAAAAGTAATTTTCAAACCAAAGGGCCAYATCACCACCAAATCTGGAGCTTTGACACATTTTGCTCTCTCACAGACATTGGTTTGGGAAGGCTGGAGAGGAGATGAGGCAGCTTTCATCACACCAGGCAAATTAGGGAATTCTTTTCCTGCCAAACTGAGAAAGCGGAGGTGGAAAATCTCTCTGCTGCAGTAGGAACATCCAGAATCCTGGCAAAACCAGCGTTTTCAGAGGTTGGTTTGCTCTGAAAAGTGTTGTGACATTGTGTGAGGAAGGTTCAGTGAATGGTTTTGAAGATAAACTGTTAAATATTTTGCTTTCTATAGACAACATGGGAGACACAAGTAGCTCTGTCTCCAAAAATCATGGTGTGCTGTGCATCAGAAGTTCAATTTTACTTCTTCAGCTCACAAAAACAGCAGGAAACAATGCATTCTGGAAAAAAAAAATTATTTGTTGGAAATCCAGCCATCTGCCTTGCACAGAATGGGTGCAACACAAGCAGGTGTCTTCTAGCAGCAGACCATTATTTAACATTAATTATTATTTTGCCATTTTTTTTAAATTCACTATGTTATTCCATTACCATACAGCAGGCATCTAGAACACAGTGTAACAGATTTTTTTTTAAAAGGCAGTTTGCTATGAAAATTTGAA